TTTCTTCTTTCCAGCTCCACCCCAAGAATCTGGGATAGAGCCAGAGAGGTTGTTGTGTTGAAGGGCAAGAATGGTTAGAGAAGGAGACATGGTTAAACTGCTAGGAATGGATCCAGAAAGTGAGTTGAAGCTCAAATTGATCCGAAGCATCCTAGTAGATCTCGCTAAACTGGGAGGGATTTTACCACTGAGGGAATTGTTGCTAATATCAAGAGACTGAAGCATTGGACAATTGCCAAGGGAAGGAGGGATAGAACCTGAAAGCTTGTTATTGAAGAGATAAACCCCTCTAAGGTTGGGAAGGAGGCCAAGTGACAAAGGAACTGGACCAGCAAGAACATTGTCATGAAGACTGAGTTTCCTAAGAGACTGAAGTTGGCCAATTTTCTCAGAGATCCTGCCACCTAACCCTCTCCAAGGAAGCTGAATTGCAATAACCTCACCATTCACACACTTGATTCCTGCCCACCCAGAACAAGCACCTAGACCACTGTCATTCCAGCTCTTGAGAACCCCTTTGAAGTCAATTAGCTCATTCTTAATAGCCCTCAGGGCTTGAAAATCAGCCTGAGTAACAACCACCCCATCCCACAACTGCCCTGAAACAGGCTGAATGACAGAAGCCAAAGCTTGCAAAAGAAACACAAAAGAAGCTAAGCAAATAAAACCACCACCCCCAACACCTTTGTGGTTCCTCCTCCTATGACCATATGAAGCAAAAGAGAGGTTAACCTGAAAAGGGTCTGTGAAGAAATCTTTGGCATGACAACTGTTGTGTCCCATGAAAGTGGTAAGTGGGAACTTAGAACAAACAATGGCTAAGCAAAGAAAGTAAGACAGACACAAACAGGTTCCACTTTCACTCTCTCTTTAGGCTCACACCTCTCAGACAGACTCAGCTCAGATAACAGTAGTAGTGGTATAATACTAGTACAATGAAGAACAACGAGGAAGATCTAAATACTAACACAAGAAAGTGGAGAGTTAAAAGAGAGGGACTACAGTTCTGAAAAAGGCATGTGAGTGAAGAAAGGTGCTGGTGGGGTTTAAGGATGAAGAGAGATAAATGAAATGAGGTGGTGGTCATGAGTAGAATGAGTCAAAGTTTGCAATTTTCTTAATCCTAACGGCTAGTTTTACTTCATTGTCTAAATTATCATAACTGCTGCTGCATAACGGGTTGGGTTGGGACATTAGAAGACCAAGCAGAGATGAGATGTGATATGGGGTTTCCTTCTCCAACGGCTACATTGCATTGGATTTGGTTTTGGATGCATTACATTTTCTAAGGGTCCCATTCTTTTCCTCGTTCTACTCCTCAGTGTGACTCCTCATCATCAACATTATTATATTCTCAGAAAATATGTCACAAAAGACAAAAACTTTAATTACCTAAACTACCCTTCCATGAGTGAGTGTTGTAAACCCCACAACCCACAAGCTGCAGTTAACAAAAAATAAAATAAAAAACTAAAAAAAATGTTTAAAATGATAAATTTTAGATATTTTAAAAATCATATATGACAACATAATTAAGTGAACTAAACTTAAGTATCCATCTAAAGATGCAGCTTGTTGAGGGCAAAAGTGAGAACAGATGAAACTATGTTTTTCTTCTTTTACTTTGTGATTATTTTGGGTCATAAAGAAGGTGTTTATCTAGGGCATCTTTCTGGCAATGGTGTGTAATGTACTGCGAGTAGGGACATCAAAGTGACAGATTGTGCACCTTATGCTTTCATAATTCACAGATCTGTGGTATAGAACACATTATTAGCTTGAAAAGGTGGAGCACAAAACAAACAAGAGTTGTAAATTGTGTTAGTTGGGGCAAAAGTATATTGGGGTGTCAGTGTCACATTCATTATTTTGTTGCAACGAATTGATTTTATTATGTTTTGGAAACAGCACGGGGAAGAAGTAAACTAGAAGAAATTCAAGAATTAAGAGGATTAATTGAGGATTAAGGCATTGTGTTCGACTTTTTCAACTAACAAACAAAATTTTGAGATGCAAAAGCTAGATAGTGATAGTGTTTATAGCTTCAACATTACATTACATTTATATTCATTGTTAAAAAAATATCTATTAATTTTTTAAGCTACGCGTTAAATAATTTCTTAAAGACACTGCAGTAACAGTTAAAATTAAATTACTTCAGTAATTAATTGCATGTCTAAACTGAGAACATTATCTGCTTGAATTTATTTGATGAAAAGTAATTTTAAAATATTTAATTAGAGAAAATTTGTCAATCTCAATTATTATATTTAACTATTATTTTCCTTGTAAAAATGGAAATAAGTTTCACTTTAAAAAAAATGTCAACTAACTTGTAGTATTAGAGGAAAAGAGTGATCTATTTTGGTATTCAGGTAGAAAATTTTCCCATTTCCTTATGCAAGAAAAAGGTCATAGGAACAATTTTCTCTTCTAATTATTAACTCGCTGCTCCAATTCAAGTCAAAATGCAAATATGACTAGTAACACCTTTGGCCATGCTTAATCATCGGATACCCATATATAGATTTTACTTTTAATTCTTCTAATAGTTATGTTTGTTTAAAAAAAATCCGAAAAAAATTATTTTCTTGATAAAATAATTACTTCTAAACAATTTTTCTATATTTCGACAAACTGGTTTTAAAAAATTGAAAAAAAAGAAAGGAAAACCTCTTTTCTTACTTTCATCTTTGAGTTATTTTTAATATAAGTTGGAAAAAAAGTAAATATTTTTTTAAATTATAAACAATGATGTTATGTGAGGAGGAGACGAATTAGTATCCATTTTAGGAGTCGAAGTTGATTGGGTTTTCACGTTTCAATTATTCATTATCATTAATTAGTCAACGGTACTTTAAAACTTCTTTGGAATGCGATTTGTTGATAAAGAAAAAGAAATGATATTTTATCAACATGACAACATTTTGACACGGGCCACGTGTCAAAATGTGATTGGTACACGTGGAAAAGAATTTCAAAAATTAGAATGACATGGAAATTGAAATTTGGGAGCAAGGGTTTCAAGTTTTGAGAGTTAATTTTTAGTCTTCAGATTTTGAATCTAAGACTTTGTTAGAGAGAGAAGCATAAGCTTGTGAGAGAGCGCAACCGAGAGAGACTCTGTCTTCCTTCGACCCAGCCACCCGTCGACGCGTTTTGAGTCTCAAATCCTCCCACCCGCTTCGTTGAGTGTAGCGTAGCGGTGCGTTGCTCACTGGAGTGCGCCTCTAGAACTATTCGCGAACCCTATACAGAGTTCGTCTACCTCCAACCCACCCACCCATCGACACGTCTTTTGACTAGGTTGATTCCGTGGAGCGTCGCATTGTGTTGTCCGCCGGAGTTTCGCCGTTGCCACTATTGTCCGATTCGTTGACCGACGCATTTTGGGCTACCGTCGTTGCCGTGTACCGACCCACCCAGTTTGTCTTCCGTGGAAGGTCGTGGTCCTTTGTTAGGCTTTTTTTGTCGTCGTGGATTGTATTTTTGTTGGATTGGCGTAGATGGATTGCACAAAAGAAGGAGGTTATAACAATGTAAGTAGATATAACGTTTTGAAAATTGATTTGTTTGTTTGAAAAGAGTTTTTTGATGGTTTATATTTTTGAAATTGAATTGTAGTTGCGTTTGCGGCCATGGTCTGACACAAAACCGATAGTCGACATTAATGGTATACTTCGAGAAATTGATAGAACACATATCGGGAAGACTCCATTCAAGTGGTGTCTTTATATGAAAAACCCAATTGAGTTATGCACTCCGCTGTTGAAGGAAAGGGTTACACGTTGGGTTGGACGGAATGAATGTTTTGTTTTGAAGCAACGAATGGTACCATTTATAATTGGCAATGTTTGCATGGGTCTAGGGTTGGGTGTTGGTGGTTTAGATGTCAATTTTGATGATAACTTTGGTGGTGTTGTATGTCAACAATTTTGTTCAAAGTCATTTACTGTAAAAGATGTCATAATTAGATAAAGTTGTTAATACAAAATAATGACATGGATGTTGATTGTGTGTGTCGTTTGTATATTTTAGTTTGTTTTATTGTTTTTTACTTTCCTAAACATTCAAAGGCAGTTAGTAACATGCCTTTTACATTATTAGATAACATTGATAATTTGTACCAATATAACTAGCAAAAGTTGTGCACACATTTGTGGTAAATAGTTTAGGAAATGCATCAAGGATGATAAGACAACGTGACATAAAGGACTCCACAGGCCTGAGTGGCAATGTAGCAGTGTTGCAACTAACAATTTTAAATATTCTTTTAATTTTAATGTGGATGGAATTTGTTTATTATATGATTATCGTTTTGGTTAATTTTTAATTGTTATTTTTTGAAGAATTGTTTTGAATATTGTGATGATGCGACATGATGACATATGTGATTATTTTGTTGAAAGAGTTGTTTCTGAAATTTGCGGTCAAACATTTTCCACCCAGGAGTGTCATTCTTTTGGACTTAGGAAGCAGCTTGGCAACATGGTAATAATGAAATATGGTGTGGTTATTGTTGTTATATTTTATATGTTGGTTGAAATATGTTTTATGAAGAAGTTGTTGGTTTTTTAGGAGATTTTGTTTGCCACAATCGTGTTCATGTTCTTTGAAAGAAGGAGTACTAGAGTAGTGAAAATGATATGTTTTAGTCCATTATATGCGATTGGTAAAAATAGTTGTCAGTTTATGTTGTAAAAATTGTATTGACATGACAAATGAAAGCTAACTATGTGATTTCCTTTCAGACCCATGTTTTAGTTGACTCAAGAAAGAAAAAGATTAATCGCAAAGTTTTGACATTGAATGAGTACTCTAACTACTTCCAGTCCGATATCATTGGATTTGATGACATTGTTAATGTCGAATTTGTTAGTGCAGTCAAATTTCATATAATGTACTTTGATTCTATGTTGATGGTTTTTTGTACAATTGTTGACACATTTTTCTTTGTTGTAGTTGTTTGTCCCAATTATCCATGACGGTCATTGGTGGTGCTACGTTGTGAAGATTCTATCACTTCACATGTTTGCACTAGACTCTTTTGGGCACAAAAGAAAAGAACGAAAAAAGATTGGCAATGTTATTGTATGTGTAGTAATTAAAGTTTACTTTGTAATTATAAATTCGTAGAGTTGTTTGGATAGTGAAGGGGACTATGTTGTTTTGCAGACACAAAATCTTGCATTGTTTTTTGGACATTTGTTGAATGGTTCAGAAGAAAAGACACCGTCGTTGGAGGTAGAACACTTGCAGACTCCAACCCAACCAAACTTGTAAGTTTGTAATGTTAATTTTTGTAAATGTAATATTTTATTGTTTGATTGATATATTAAATATGAATATTATTTTGTTGGACTTTGTTTGTGTAGATTTGATTGTGAAGTAATTGTTTTAAAAATTATGGAGTTGTGGGATGGCATTGAGAAATACGAAGGCAACACAATGCCCACTTACACAACTGTAAGTTGTAAAAATTATCATGTTGTGGAGTTTTGATAGAAGTGGTGCATTTTATTCATATGTTGTGCATTATTGTCTTTGCAGAAGGAACTACAACAAGTTAGGGAGAAATACATTTGTGATTGGATTTTGGATGTGACAATGCGCAGAGGAATCAAGTGTTGCAAGACTTAGGCATTATGTAGAATGTTGGGAAATAGTGATTTTGTCAATGTTATAACTGGGTTGTTTAGAACTTTTTCAATATGTGTTGATGCTGATTGAACATACTTGAAGTTAAAAATGTTGACAGAAAAATAGTTGTTACATTTATTCTTAATGAAATTTGAAGGTAAGAATGTGGATTGTTTACAATGCTTGCACTGCAGTCTCCAGTCAAATTGGATGTCATTATTAATGAAATATTATATGTACAGTATGTAAAGTGGCCACAAATTTGTTAATAAATAAAGTGTGTGTCATGGTCGTAGTTCACCTTCCTGTGCAATACTTTAGCCCGAAGTACTCACTTATTTTGCCTTTGGTAACGGTTTCTTTCCTGCACCATGATTTTTAATAAAAAAGGTTTTTTGCCCACAAATTTGTTAATAAATAAAGTAAAAATTGGTTCCACATCACTTGTAAGTGGAAAAAGTTATGAGAAACAAATTAGGCACTCCAAAATGTGTGTCATGGTCATAGTTGACCTTCGTGTGCAAAACCTTAGTCTGAAGTACCCACTTATTTTGCCCTTGGTACCACTTTCTTTCCTGCACCATGATTTTTAATAAAACAGGTTCCTTGGCCAC